TAATGTAGGGGCCTTAATGATTTCAATAGGGCTTTGGGGGGTGGGTTAGACTATAGTTATAATAAGGAACCCCCAAAATAGTCTAGGTAATTATCAAGGCCCCTGCAGTGTTACAGTAAGCGTTTGTTTTGCATGGTCGTGGGTTTAGGGCCTCTTGCCCTTGCACCTGTCGCAAGCGTCTGCCCCCTCCTCACGCAGTCTTCCTGACAGAGTGGGAGAGCTTACCGCCGAAATTCTTCCATCCTAAATAAACCCGTACCTCTGAACCCGGGGCGCTCATGCGGGACCCAAGACAACAACATTGATCTCGACACCGAGCAACATCGAGAAGCCTATCAGCCAAGCTTTTGCAGTTCTCAGGAACCTGTTCCTCTCGCTACCCTGCATCCTAGACCCTAAACCCAACCCTGAACCCTGAACCCTAAACCCTTAAACCCTAAACCCTAAACCCCTAAACCCTAAATCCTGAACCTCCGAAAAACGCCGTCAAAAACTTCTTTGAAGCTCCTGTGTGGCCGCCCGGCGTGGTGATTCGCATGGTGGGCCTCCGAGCGAGCATCCCGTATCCACGGGGTCTTCAGGGGTCCTCTGGGTTTAGGCCTTAGGGTTTAGATTTAGGGGCATACTGTACACTGTGCGCCCAAATCTCGAAACCCAAAACCACCCATGCCCTCCGAAACAGGATTTCCACTCACGGATTGAGTTGCACTGCTCACGCCATGGGGCATTCGATTCAAGGCCCTGAGAGAGCCTCAAATCCCGGAGCCATCAAACCTAAATCTAATTGTTTTTCATAGGTAGTATTAACTAGGGGTACCCCTTAAAGGGTACCCCTTCTGAACCCTACTTTTGGCTCTCTTAAAAGGGACCTTATTGAGAGGGTCTATATCCCCAAGGGTCCCCCGAATCCTAGCTCCCATGTCAAGCAAGCAGCCCTAAGTCAAAACGAAGGAAACAACACAAACAGTGTGAATTTCTCTAGCGTTGGTGCGGTAGGCAGAATGATAACGATAGCAAATAGTTGTCTGAAACAGAAACAGTCGTAAGTATCGTAAGTCGACATGCCATTGCCATTGTGATTCTCTGTAGGGACGGTTGAGCTCTGCGCATTGCGCTCACGTTACGAAACAGAACGCTCATCGGTTGAAGATGGGGCACTTACGGTAGATGTGACCTTGTCGGCTTGCCTCGTGCATCGCTACTACGTTCCACATGCGCAGCAGCTTTCTACACCAATATCATGCATGCACTTCAGGGGTCTTACTCTCCGGGACGGCAAGTTAGAACCACCCTTGCCGCCGCAACTTTGCCCGAGCGCCGTTTTGCTTTCTCGGGCGCCGGTGTGGCTCTAACTTGCCGTCCGGGAGTGTAATGCTTATAATCGGGTTTCGGGTACATAATGACCTAGCATATTACTAACTATTCAGGCCTATAGTAAGCCCGCATGCCTGCGTATCGCGAAGATGGTAATGACTCAGCTTATCGAACTGGTTTCGGTGCTTACTCTGCTGCTTGGCTCTCGGCATCGGGATGCAACAGATCAACAGGACACACAGAGTTCACAACTTTGTACCCTAAACCCTAAACCCCAAATCCTAATTCCGTACCGTCTCCAACAGCATCGCTTGCGCCTGCACGTCGTGTCCTGCAGTGCGGGCAACTGAGCGAACCGCCCAGGTATAGCAACTGGGGAGTTAGGTATGATACTTCCAGCATCGAGACCATTTACCCCATTGCCTTTAGCGGCGGTAGCGGCTGGTATGCTACCATGAGTTTTCTGCTACTGCCTGTGCCACGAATAAGTATTGGTGACGAACATCATGCTCCCATTGCTGCAGAACACTAACTACAATGCCATTGCTACGATTCTACTACTCCGGTCCTCAACACCAGAACTGCGACTTAGCACGGCCTCTCTTGCCAGCCAATACGAGTATGGCTGGTGGCACTGATGCTGCGATGCTGCTAATGTGTTACTACTGAGCACTTCTCGACGACGACTACGGCCATGACCACGAGCAAGAGTGCTACCATAGCTACTACAACGCTTGATGTTACTGCAGCTACCATTGCTGTGGCAGACACGCTTACTCGGGCTACCATGATCACTTCGAATGCTGTTCCCTCGAAGAAGGCCTCGACAATCCTAAATCAAAATCACGCAGAAGAGGAGATTACTGTTTTGGGTACACCAGAATCAAGTCAGAGCAAGGTCCATGAGATCAGAGACTGAACACAAAACACGCCACTTAGAACCTTAACCTTCAATCTTACTTCCTCAGCGGACAAGGGGAAGGCTAGACTGGACTGTGGGCAGACCCCTGGAAACGGAAACATAAAAACACAAATGAAGCATAGGAAGCCAAAAGTAACAAGCATCCAATGCTTCTGCTCGGATTGGTCTCCTTCTTGTTGGCTGTGTTGCTGGCCAGACCTGCGTCAGAATTTGTAGGGCTCCATACGGGTTCAGCGGCTCTGGTTTCAAGGTTTAGGCACTAGTCTACACTTCCCCGCCACCCTAAGCTGCTCTGGAACACGAAGCAAAAACAATTAAAAAAAGATCGATTTGTGCATACTGCAGTACATGAACAAATATGTAAACAAACACAGAAATTAGTGTCTATGCGAGAGACACAGAGAGAGAGAGAGAGTGTGTGTGTGTGTGTATATATATACATATATATATATATATAAGGGTGTGTAGGTATAACTGTATATTTGTAGGTGTCTATATGTTTACATATTTCTATATTTACAGGAATAGATATAGATACATAGATATAGAAAGCCATATCGATATAGATGTAGACATGGACATGGACATGAACATAGATACGGATACAGACGGAGATAGAGACAGGTTCAGATGACAACACATAACAGTCACGTGCTCTGCTCAATACTCGCCTGTGTAAACCAAGGTAATGTAGGGCCCTTAACAATTAGAAAAGGGTTTTGGGGCCCATTATACTGTAACTGTGATAAGGAACCCCCTACTACTATAGGTAAATGTTTAGGTCCCTACATTACCCAATTATTGGATAGCGAGAACCCCGAGGTTGGACCATGGATACTTCACCGATTAACCGTTGTAGCGGTCGACAATGCTTTACATTTATTGGAAACCCCTAAACCCTAAACCCTAAACCCTAAACCCTAAACCCTAAATCCTCAACCGTAAACTTTCTATAAACCCTACCCGCCGCCCACGGCGACTATGGGGATGCGGTAGGAGGTGGGGGTGGTAGGGGGGAATACGTTAGAGCATTCAGGGTAATGGAGCTAGGTGTGCTGACCACCCTACCGAATTGTGATTTCTTGAAGATCCACTTTCTTCCGTTTGGGTAATTTGCTGGTCTAAACTCTTTAAGGTACTAACCCTAAACCCTAAACCCATCCGATGTTGGATCCTCCTTAGAAAACCCCGAGTTAACCCCACTGGCGCCATCCCCAATGGTATAATATAGTATGATGTAGTCGTATCTTAACAAATTGGTTGTAAAGGCACCAAATCCATTACAATAAAATGCTATATCATGTAATGCCGTGAAACTAAATATGATATGATACGGACTGCGTGATATGATATAAAAGATTTGAAACATCACGATACAGTACAATATAACACAATATAACATAGTATAGTAAACCAAATACGCTACGGTGCAATACAAAAGATTATAAATTCATACAATATTTTACGTAAAAATAATACAATCCATAATTATAACATAATACACTATAATACGATAAAGCACCATATAACACAATATAACATAACACATCAAAACAGAATAGACTAGGGGGGTTGAAGGTTCGGCCTTTCCAGTTTCACTGCTTAGGGTTTAGGGTTTAGGGTTTAGGGTTTTAGGGTTTTAGGGTTTAGGGCTTTCGGGATGTACGCTTGTTGACAAGCATGCCACATTAGCGCTTGCCTTTTGGAGCTTAGGGTGAGGCTTTGCACCTTAATGTCTAAGGTTTGGTTTGCAATGTCAGGGTCTAAGGCAAGGGTTTATACTTGAAGGGTCTTAGACCAGGAATTTGCTGAGCTTTTAACTTTGAGCATTTCTCGGGTGTAGGCTGTTTTTTGTCTGCTGCAGTCTGGGAGTATGGATAAAGTTGTGACTTTCGGTCTGGGGTGTGAGCTTTCAAGTTTGATGTGTTGGGTTTAGGGTTTAGGGTTTAGGGTTTAGGGTTGAGGGTTTAGGGTTAAGGGAGAAATGGAAGGCTGTAGAGGCTCACATTGGCTGTTGGGGGATTCGGTATGTGCTAAGCCCTGTTCATCCCTCAAGCTATGAAGCCCTGATCCCAACCCAAACACCCTGGACCCAAACCCCCCAACCGGTACAGTCCTTCATATCACAACCTTAAACCTTCAACCCTAATCCCTCAACCGCAGTCCCTCAACCTTGTTCAAGTAGGGGCCTTAATAATTTTAATAGGGTTTTGGTGTATATCATACTATAATTATAATAAGGATTTCCCCAAAATAGTGTAGGTAATCATTTAGGCTTCTATATTAATCCCTCAACCTTCAACTCGAATTCGACCCTCCATGTTCTCAGAGACTCCCCGTCTCTGAGTAGGGCCTCCCAAACTTTGTCCCCTTCTGGGCCCCTAAACCCCAAACCCGAAACCCCTTACTGAGAGGCCTCGTTGGGCGATGTTGGTGCTTGTGGAGGCTCTTCCCGGTGCCGGCAGTGGACCTGCCAAGTCTAATGTTTAGGGTTTAGGGTTTAGGGTTTAGAGCCTTAATGATGAGAATAACAGAGCGTTGGGTATCGGGCCGTCAGGCGGGGCATAAGGTTTCTGGGGCATCTTGCACTCACTCTAAACCCGAATCCCTACGCTAACCACAAGAAAATGTGAATGATTCAGACCTCTACATTGCCAGGCCGACTGATTCGGACCCTAAACCCTAAACCCTAAACCCTAAACCCTAAACCCTAAACCCTAAACCCTACATTGCCTGGCCGACTCAGGACCTTGACTGGGGGCTTCGGGGGGGTATACTATTTAAGCTAGACCTACATTCGGACAATAAGGGGGTACTGAGTCTAGGGCTCTAGGGGTTTGGGTTTAGGGTTTAGGGGCCCTTTAAAGGATTCCTTTCAGGGTTGCTTTAAGGGATACTTTAAGGGTTCAGTATAGAGGCCTTAACAGTCTGAATAGGGTCTTGAGAGTATGTCATACTCTGCATAAAGCAGGAACCAGGTTTCGGAAGTAGGGTTTAGGGTTTAGGGGCTTAGGGCTTAAGACCGAGACTTTTAGAACTTAAGATGATCGTTGCTGCCTCTGTGGTTCGTTAGTTCGGTGCGGTTGGATTCTCGTTTTTGCCATCCATGGAGTCAAAAGTTCAACAGACTTGAAGGCGTCAACCGAACGTCTGCAAAAAAGAACAGCAGCCTGTTTCAGCCGTGGGTCCTGGAGTTAAGAACCATCGTTTGCCACGTGTTGATGCTGCTAACATGGGAATGATGACCTCGATGCACAAGCTGGTGATGATGATGGCAGCCCCGGTCGTGACGAAATGATGATGCCCAGGCTTTGCACATGTACCTTTGAGCCCAGAAACCCTACACCCTACACCCTAAAACCGTAGAACCCTAAACCCGGAACTCCTGAATCTCCCATCCCCAAACCCCTAAACCCTCAATCCCCAAACCCGAAATCCAAAAACGCGAAATCCCGAAACCCTAAGCCAATCTTCAGGCTCGGCCAAAAAGTCGCAAAAGTTCCCTGCCTAGGCCAGAAGGCTTAGTAAGGGCTGTTGACGGCAAGGCCTCTTACTTGGATAAGCCAACACTGAAGCAGACACTGGTGTAGAGGTTTAGGGTTTAGGGTTGAGGGGTTTGGGATTTAGGGGTTTAGGAGTTTAGGGGTTTAGGGGTTTAGGGGTTTAGGGGTTTTGGGGTCAGGGGCTTTAGCATTTTAAGGGTTTAAGGGTTTAGGGTTTAGGGTTGAGGGGTTTAGGGGTTAATTAGGGTTTTGGGGTGTTTAGGGTTTAGGGGTTTAGGGGTTAGGTTTCTGGGTTTAGGGTGCTTGGGTTAGATTAGAACCTAGAGCAACAGCCGCAAATGCTGCAAAGCGTTTTGCCTACGCTGTGGAACCTTTGAAAACCCCTTTCATACCTAGTTACCCTTTGAAAACCCCTTTCATACCTAATTATCCTAAACCCTAAACCCTAAACCCCAAACCGTACCCAACAGCTCCATCTGGGGCTCCGGCGCTTTTTTCACCGCCTGGGCCGCACCAGTCAGACAAATGCTGCCCCAAATGACCACTTTTAGGGTTTAGGGCTTAGGGATTTAGGGTTTAGGGATTCCTACAGTGGGATCATGTAGAGCTTAAGAAAACTCTATACCCTAAACCCTAAACCCTAAACCCAAACCCAAACCCTATCTATTGGGCTCATGTGGGGCTTTTCGGCTTACACCCTCGAAATAGGGGTTTGGGGTCCCTGAAAAATACCTTAGAAGGTCCGGCAAGGCCGGGAGGATAGACCTCTGTCCCTGAGCCTCTTAAACCCGAGTTACCTAGGGCTTGGGGTTTTGGGGTTCGGGGTTTGGGGTTTGGGGTTTGGGGATTCGGGGTTTGGGTTTAGGGTTTAGGGTTTGGGGTTTTGGGGTGTGGTTTTTAGGCGTTTAAGGCTTAGGGTGGCACTCACAAAGGCGCGAATCAGGGTTTAGGGTTTGGGGCTTCTGCTGTCAGGGTTTAGGGTGTAGATCGAGTTTAGGGTTTGGGGCTTCTGACGTGTAGAAAGTGTTCCGAACTCCTTCCGCCACCCGACGCCTTTGACCGCCAAGGAATCGCAGCTGAGGCGGAAGTTGCTGGGTTCGTGATCTTCAATCATCCCCCTCATTAAGGTTTAAGGTTTACGGTTCAGGGTTTAGGGTTTAGGGTTTAAGGTTCAGGGTTTAGGGTTTAGGGATGCTTCAAGACTGCCTCCTGCGTGAATTGGCGGAGAGCTGGGTTGTAGTTCCGACGGCTGGAAGGTTCATTGCCACCTCTCTTGTGGCTGAGCCCTTCCAGCCCACAGGCCAAGAGCTGCAGTGTGCGATCTACTATAAGGGGCCTTCATAATGAGAAAAGGGTTCTGGGCCCCTTTATTTTATTGTTATTCCGGAACCTTAAACAACCATATTGGTAATTATTTCAGCTTCTATACTACGGGACTGCAACGAAAAACATCGTGCTGTGATACTCTCAAGACATCCGGCTTTCCCGGTTCCTACAATAACTGGCATTGGAATTCAAGTTGCCGATGTCGTTGCTCTTCGCTTGTGCTGCTAAGGTCGTCACTGTCATGCTTCTGGGGTTCGTCGCATCAGGGAGTCGAGTGGCCTTGCTGCTACATTATTCTGTCATATACAGCAGCACAAACCGATGTCTCGCAAAACCCAACACCTTCAACCGAACCTCTAATCCCCTAAATGAAACACCAAACCGGAAACCCTGAAAGCTGCACCCTCAGCCGCAAAATCATTAAGTAGAGTCCCGGAGGCCTAATCCTAAGCCCTGACAACGTATTATAGCGGCATTAATAATTAGAATAGGGTTTTGAGGGCCCAT